GAAGACAATAGAGATGAATCATTATCTTGTCTGGGAGATACTGTTATATCAAACGGCCAAATTCGGTTTCACAGGACTTGATACCAGAGCAGGCTCCTCATAAAACCTCATGTGCAGGTCTTGCATCACAGCAAGAAAAATGGGTCATAATGGACAATGGCCGTCTGTCTTACTGGCCCTGTACACTAAGGCCACCACCCTTCCTCTCAAAAGCTCTTTCAGCTCTTATCAAAGTGCTCGATCATACCTGCTGAAATCGGGTGGATGTTTAACGGTACACAAACACTGCAGAGGGCAATCTTTATGAATGGTAATAATCCTCTTGTTATATTGAAGGGGCAAACTTGCACCAATGCCATACATTACCTTAGTGACTGTCTATGAATCCATGGTTTAGTCAGAAGGAATTCCTTTTCCATCCACAACAAAATCAACAAAAAAATGAAGAACAAAAACGGAACAGATGAATCCGAGTTTTAAAATGGCCCCCAGAGAAGTAAACGGCAGTTTTAGAGAAGCACAATAATAATGATGAAAATGTAACACTGAAGACCAAATAAAAAAGTTATGTTGTATTGTCTGAGAAATGAAGAAAAGGCCTTGACATTGTTTATTTTAAAATGTAATCTTGATCCTGACTAAATTAAAAACATATGAATCATAAGCAGATAAAATGTGTATCTAGTCACAACAAAAACAAAGCTTGTTTCTTGATCAGAGAGGTTTGGTAACATGTTGGGTCTTTAGAAATTGTGAAAGAGTTCAAGTTGCTTTGAGAAACATGTTTATGGTTCCAATTAAACTTTATCACTAACAGGTCTAAGTCAACTCTGTGCAGCTCTAGATTGAGTCGAACTGGTCTCACACACAGCTGAACCAAGCCAAACAAAGGCCCCCGACACCTGTGCACGCTTCGAGACCTCCCCAGTGATCACATTACAGACATAATGCTGGTCTGCTAGATGCTGCACAACTGCGAGGGATGGAAGGATGTGGTTATTTGTAATCGTGCAAGGCTCGCCGGCAGTGGATTTCCCACTAGGCCAAGCATTTGTGCAGTTGGTGCTAGTGTGGGAGAGGGGGAGGGGTTCATGGGAAAACAAATGTGATGAATCAATGATAACTCTTTGAGCAATGGAGAGAACATATGGCAGTAAACTCAGAGGGCTGTGTCAAAGTCACATGTGAGCTGACAAAAAAAATCAATACACATATTTTGAATTTTCATGCTTATAGGTCTTTTCTTTGTGAGGGATGGGATATGGGAGCTTATTGTTTCAAAACCTTGACATAAAAGAGGTATGAGAAATGTTCCAACAAATCAGCAGACGTAGGAGATTCAAGTTCTCACAAATGCTCCAAAAAGCGTTGAGGATGAGGATATGTGCATCGTCGCGTTCGGCCGTCTGACTCATTCCACTCCTGTCAGGCAAAACTCGGACAGGCTAATATCTGCGGCGCTTCTGCTTCTGTTTGCGTGGCACTAGTTTCTCGGAAAGTGAAGCATCTCGAGATCAGCCATAGCAGACATAACAGCGGCAGCATTTTGTGGTTTCGTGTTTGGAGAGTCTCATTTCCTCTCTCAGACAAAGCTGTTGATAAGTTAAAAACTAAAGACTGTGACACTTTGTCCTCGTTATAGGCTCCAAAAATAGAAAGACGAGACGCACCGAAACCTTGCAACATGTCAGTCAAAACTGAATGAATGGTGAGCCAGAAGGTGAGAGGGGAAAAAACCTCCATTCCTGTCAAATGTGATCACTGTCAAGGTCTTAAAGGGTCAAGGTTGGTGGGTCAGTTGGGAAATTATTTGCAAAGCAGCCCTCATCCAATGGCACAGCGCACACAAACAAACGCCATCTAAAACACATTTGGCAAAAAAAAGAAAATGGGCGGGATTTTCCTTTGGTGGCATGAAAAATAACACATCTCCTGCTATCTGGGTCTCAATCAGATGATGCAAGCAAAAACCTTTGTGATTCCCAGCAGCCCTAACCCCATTTGTGTGATGTCGAATAGTTGGACTTCATGTCGATCCTTCCAATAAAAGGGCCAACAGGACTGTCCCTTTTTTTGGGTACATATACAGCTCTGTGGCACAGTGGTGTGACAGTTGGCACTCACATCAAGGAGGTTGCTGGTTCAAACCTTGCTTGGGGCCTTTCCCCCATGGACCAAAAAGGTGTTTGATTATAACTGCTGACTCTAGAAACTTAAAATAGGTCAGTCTGCTGTGTGGTTTCTAGTTATAGGTGCAGTTACACAACATTAATTTCTGCACTGTTTTTCTATTTGCAGATAATCCACCACCGATTGTCAGTGTGTGGCGAAAAAACAATGACTTTGACTAGTGTACTGTAGGTGCTGGTCATTGTTCGGAGGGTCTGCATACCGAAGGCTGAATCTGACCTCTCTCGAGGACCGTCCCACTCAGTTGTTTAGTGTGCTGAGCACAGCTTGATCTACAACGTTTCTTTTTATTTATTCATTATTTCTTTCAGGCTGAGGGGGAGCTGGCAGGGACCTAACAAGTATGCCTGCTGATCACTCTGACCAGAAAGCCGTCCTCCTCCCCTGAATTTCTCAAGCTCAGGGCGGGGCAGCGAGGGAGTGTTTGTGTGTGCTCATGCGTACAGAGCATCAGACGTGGTGTGGTCCGCTTAAGAGGCGGAGACAACAAAAGCAGGATGTGAGACAGCAGTCCTCCACTTCCGCGTGCATCAGAAGGAACCACCACAGCGCAGAGAGCGCCACCTCTTGGCTTGTGTTGTTCACGCAGGCGGCGTGCCGGTAAAATTCCATTCCCAAAGATGATGACTGCACAAGTGCAAACAGGCCACACTGAGCTGACTTGATAAGAGCCAAGGAACCTTGTGAATGTTGTTGGGAATTCCAGTCATGTGTGGATGTGTTGGACGATCGAGATTCAGAGGGATTGTTTTGTTTAGCTGCTGGAAGTTGTTTTTTTTTTTCGTTTGAGCGTTTCTTTTTCTGTGTTGTCTGAAGCATTGTTCAACCCCACCCATGACAGTCAGATTTGAACACTTCAGTCCCTCCTATTGAATGCATCGGGGTTCAGTTTTCTGACCCAACGGCAGAAAACTCCTCACACCAGAACACTTATGCTCTGAAATGCTGAGTTAAACATTTACCCGGCTAAAAGCCTTCTGAAAGCTTCAACTTCCATTTGGAGTTTTGAAGGCTGCCCTTTGAAGACTTTAGAGCCAAAAGCTGTAATACAAAGAGACACTGTCTCAGTTTTCCTTGAGGACTTCCACTGCTATGGCCTGAGTTAGATGACTCTTGAAAGCAAAATGTTTTTTATGAGATTAAAAGGGGTGATGTCATACTGACAGTGATGTTGGTTATGTAACAGCACCCTGCTCTTTTGTATGTCATGGATGTTTTCATGTGTGAATACGTATATAGCATTTAAGGTGAAGCGACACGTAAATCTGCAAAGGGCAGAGATCAGGTCCTGAGCACAGATAAGCAAGGAGCACTTTAGGAAGTCAGAAGTTTCTCTGAAATGTGGGAAAGCTTAACCTCATCTGCTTCCTTGTTTGATCTTTCTTTATCTGGTCCCGATACGTTGTGCTACCTTCGGTACGCTTTCTTCTGAGACACACTCTTTTTCATTTTCTTTGCTTGAACCAACATCTAGAGGAAATGCAACTTCGCTGTGATCCCAATCCCAATTGATTTATACAGCTCATGTTTACCAAGCAGAGCACACAGTGCATGTGCAGTTGAGTAAAAATGACAGTGTGCTGCAGGGGAATCGGCACAGCTAGCTCAACACAAAGCAGCCATTTGGACAAAGAAGGTGGAATGGAGGCCCAAATGGTGTGAATTCCCTGGACTGAACATCACAGCTTTCTGGTAACTCCCCGCCCCACAGGACCACTACCTGAATGTGCAGCATTGTTCTGTTCTGCGTCACAACACAGATTAGCACATACTCGCTCTCTTCTTTATCTCACTGGAAGGCCATCTCTTGTCTCTTTACCACTGGACAGATTATTCTTTCTTCCAAGTATACACCCTGTGCACAAATCGTGACCTTCCTGTTTGCCAAAATGTTTGAGTTTTGAGGGAGTCGTCTGACTTAATTCCACCACATCAAATGTCCTGTTGAACTAAGTTGCAAGTGCACCGTGTGTCCTATTTGGTCTGAATGAGCCATGAGGGGATACACTTCCAACCGTACATGTGCAACTAGGTGAAATTGGTTTATCACAAATGCAGAAAATGCTGTCATAAATGCAGAGAATTGGGAGATAAATGCATAAGCTTTCGTTTCACAGGGATTCATTTTTACAAAATGTCGACTTTTAAAGTGTTCCTGCTCAGCTTCTTTTTGTGAGGCCGGCCTCAGCTCCAGCAGGCTTTCTGTGTTTAAACGGGAGAGATTCAACCAGCCTTTTCCTTCCAAACCTTTTTAATGCAATAGACACTCATTTTGTCATTCAAGCAGAGTGACAGGTATGCCTTAAAGCCATCTAACATCTCTTCTGAACCTCAACTCATATAATTCTCAAGCAGATGATTATGTCAGACTGTCGTTCTGACTCTGAGGGCATAATAACTACCTGCAAACGTCCACCGCAGTGTTTTTACGCACATAAACATTTCTGGTCTTAACCCTAAAAACCCCAAACACCCAGTCATCTGACTGTCTCATAACATACTGTTAAAGCACATCTGGAGAACGTGCCCCATCTTGTCTTGAGATACCTTTAGAATTTTTGTCCGGAGGTCATTTGGCTGTTTGTGTTTTCAGACGGCATGTTTCTGCATGCAGGATCCAGACAACCGATTTGAAGATCTATGCAAGTCATTCATAAGTATCGCATTCACACATAAACAAGTGAGGTATGGCCGTAGTCTTGCAGATGAATGCATACTTCAAATGTTTTGAACGATTACTTTAATTAAACTTATGTTTACACCTTTGACACGGATAATCTCAGGTTGTTTTCATGGTCACTGAAGGGACCTGAAAACAAATAGAACCACGCAAATCTGCTGAGGGAAGAACCTCAACACCCAAATACAAACACACACCTAACCAGCTAAAAAAAAATGATTTACACAGGAATCCTTACAAAGATTTTAAGCAAATTGCAGGACAGCTGTAAAGCTCGGTTGTGATATTTTTTTACAGATTAAACAACTTCCTGTCATGTAATGACATAATCCAGGCCGATACAAATCTCTTAGACTAATTTGATTGTTACATTGATTTTCATTAATCTGAAGCATTGTGTCTCCAGTAAATACCTTACTGAAAAATACCCCTAGAACCTTGTAAAGCATGAAATGTGGAAAGAACAAATGAAACGTCAGCTCCATCTAGAGGGCAATTCAGTTCATGTTCTCTTGCACAAACACGTCCAAGATGGCTGCACCCACACGGACGCTTCATTGAGTATTGGCAGGAAGAAGCTGAAAACCGTGAAGGAAATCAGGTAAACCAAAAATAAACACACGCACAAACACATCTAGATATGATTTAAGGGCTCGTTGTGCTGAATGTCACACCAAGATGCAAATCTGTGTTTGTTTGTTTTTTTTGTGTTATAGATCCTCTCTCTGCAGGTGACATGGATGCAAAGGAAATAGTCCACTGTGCTCTCCAGATCCAGAAGTTCACTGCAGACAGAAGCACTGGGAACATTGTGGCCCTTCTTACTGATCTCCATCAGTCTCAGGTCACAGCAGAGCAGCTAGAAACAACAGACATAGTCCGGGTCCTCTACAGGCTCCTAAGATCCCGTCCAGACAACGATACGAAGAAGATGGTCAAGAGCTTGTTGTCGAAGTGGAAGAAACAGTACAACAAGGATGGTCAGGGGGTGAAATATTCAGACGGGGGCGAGGATTCTGTGCCCATCAGCAAAGAAGAGAGAGAGGAGGGGGATTCCACCTCTGAGCGAGGACAGCCATGTGACAGCAGAGCGGGGGGGACCACACAACAAACAGGCTTATGTGGAGGTCCTGGCCCGCAGGGTCCTGTTTCCCCCGCGGAGAGGACCCCTCTCCGCTCGGACCCTGTGAGAACAAGATGTTCCCAGTTGCTCCTCGGGGCCCTCTCAGCCGAACCTCCCGATGAGGCCAAGGCGTCCCGGCTCGCCGAGGACATGGAGCAGCACATCCACCAGCTCCACGCAGCCAGTCGGGTCAAATACAAAGCCTGCATAAGGAGCAAGGTGGCAAACCTGAGAAATCCCCAAAATGCTCACCTACGTGATGGTCTCCTGGGCGGCGCCCTGTCTCCAGAGGCTTTCGCCCGCATGTCCGCGGAGGAGATGGCGAGCGCCGAGCTCCGGCAGCTGCGGGAGGAGTACTCGTCCCGGGGCCTGAGCCAGAGACAGCTCCCCCGGGGGGTCGAGGGAACGCGGACCAACAAGATTCGCTGCAGAAATTGCGGAGGGTCGGACTGCAGGGTTACCCAAGTGTCCAGAGGTGTCCTTTTCTTGCCTGCGTGGGTGAGACAGGGCGGTCCTGACCAGGATGCGATGACCTTTGTGACGTGCAGTGGGTGTGGGCAGCAGTGGTACCATAGTGGCTGGAACTGTCTCTAAATCCAAAAGCCAGGGTAACTCACGAGGACATGAACCATAATGATTCTCGATTCACATAATGATCAGGTGTCCGGAAAGCTCCACTGGTGTTCATTGTATAGATTCGTCCTATTTCACGCTGTCTTTTCTTTTTGAAGCCATAATTTTTTAAGCTGAGCAAAAAATATTGTCTGAAACTGTCCCCATGCTCTGAGAGCAAAAAATGTGTTTAAAACAAAGAATAGATGCAAAAATCCACCATGACCGAATGAGGTGGCTAAACACATTGTATCTTTTGATTGTAGAAAAACATAATCTGTAAGTGGAAAACAAGTTTATTGTACTAATAATAGCTAACAAATGCAGAAACTGATAAAGGTGGTCACACCAAACTGAAAATAGATAAATGACCGTCTCTACAAACAGTGAATCGCTACTGGCCTTTAAGTCTGGAATACAGTTTATAAAGGGGAGCTTTTGCTCAGGATTAAACCAAAAGTGTTCCTGCATTCACCAATAACTTGAAGTTTAAAGAGTGTGGGTGTATTTTTACCTCCAACCAAAAAGTCAAGTCATTTCCTTTTGTTGCAAAATGAAAGTACAACTTCTGAGAAGTAGCTTGTGTCATCATTCTCGTGCTTAACCATCTCCTTCCTCCACCACTCTCCATAATAGCTTTTTAATGCATTTCTACTCAGGGCAGCTCATTTAACTTTTGTAATGGCCTCTATCTATGACGTCCTCAAGCATAGAGTAATGTCATGGAATACAAATTTCTTTCTCTAACTCAGGCTTTGTATGACAGAGAAGTGTGATCTGTCCTTATCTGCTACTTAGAAAAATTAAAGGAACATGGCCTCTGGCCTTGGTCTAAAAATCAGTGGTCACAAACTGAATCCAGAGGATGAACATGTGACTTTAACAAATGGCGAGCATGTGAGTCAGGAGTCAGACCTCCTCTGCTGCCTGAGGGGTGTATGTCCCAGTGGGCCACGGCTGACGTGGCACACCAACCCGTGCACACATCACCGTGACGTCACGAGAAGAATCCTGAAAACAATGAGCCTGCAATGAAATATTTTAATGTGCAGAGATAGATAAAACTCTGCCTTTCTAAAACAGAGAATCCTACCTTTAATCAAGTGTTTTCGGTGTAATATATAAATGCATCTCGACGTGACTTTTTAATGGAAGATTTGAACCATTTTTGACCAAATTTGGATCTTCTGTATGAAAAATGTCTCCTGTTCCAGCTGAAATGATAGAGTATGAATAGCTGAATAACTGCATTGTCTTAAGAAATGAAAATTCATTTGACAAGTGTTGGGGGGGAAAAAAGTAGAGAAGTGGTTGAATTCCTCAGTCCCAGCCAACACATATTGGGTTTTATAAATGATTTTTCTGGACAGGAATGCATCACCCAGCAGTCAGGATTATATTATATCCCATTTTACACTCTGGGGATGTTTGTGAGCGCGTTTCTTCAACACCACGTGGTCCTGAACCCATGTTCCATGGCCCTTTGGACGACTGGAAAAAGTAATTCACCCCCCCCCCCCCCGGCCCCCACGGGGGCGCCTGGCGGGGGGGGGCCTGGGGGGGGGGGGGGGGCTGATGGAGGGGAAGGCGTGACACGCAGCGGCTGGTAGGAGCGTCAGCAGCGGCTGGTAGGAGCCTCAGAGCGGCGGGGGACTCCGGAGCGCCATGTCCGCATCCAGCCACCCGGGAGGGGGGGGGCCCTGAGCCGGCAGGGACCACCGCAGCCCCAGGTACCGTCACCCGGAGGTCCCCTTCGCTCGTTTGAACATGTCGAAGTCCAGAGAGACCTGCTCGCTTTGCTTTCTTTTTTTTGTTAACATAATATTGGCATACGCGTCACGTGTTACTTTCTGTGTTGAATCAATTCGCTGATAGTATACCGATAATGCGTAAACAGTTTGATAAACAGTTCCGTCTCTGTCTTATATTTGTACACGAGTGGCGTTTGTTATGAGGGGAAGAGGAACAGACGTTAAAAACAAGGGCTCGGTTGTTTAAGAAGTGGCGATGATTTATTTGGACTGCAGGATGAGATTCATTTCTGCTGCGATGCTCTAAAGTCTGAACATTTTTTACTTGACACGCAGTTTTTCTGTCTTTAACAGCTGGGTGTCTGATTCATTTGTGTTAATGATTCACACAAATAAGAAATCAACAGGTGTGTCACCTCCAAAAAGTGATGGCTTTCTGGCCTCTCCTGTCATCACTGCTGGTCTGGGATTTTTCTTTCTTTATAACCTGTTAATTCATCTTGTTTGCCTTGTTTTGAATATGAAAACAACGCCCTCTTTATTTAAAAGATTTGAATAAATTCAGATGTGGATACAAGGTAGGCATCTGGCTTCTTGTTAACATACGGCAAAGAGCAGCTTTTCCTTTAAATAGAGTCCCTGCTTAGTGAGGCACATGACTTCTGAGTGTGTGACTGCATGACTGTGTATCCATTAATCCCTGCGTCTTGCTCTCCAGCGTAAAACTCTCCTTTTATTGCCTCACTGCAAGAGAGTTCCTGGTTTTAATACCAGCTGGGACTTTGTGTGGAGGTAGCCCGTTTTTCCTTTGCCTTCTTTGTCCCACCATCCAAAAATGGTGTTCATTGGTGATTCTCAGTTGATGTCAGGAGTGTTTGTGTGTGTGTATGCATTTAGCAGACGCTTTAATCCAAAGCGATTTACGAAGTGGAGGAAGAGGAGTGTTACTGTGCTTGTATTTTGTTTCTGTGTGGCCCTGTGATGGACTTACAACCATTCAGGGTCTACTCCGTTTCTAGTTTACTGTCAGCTGCAGCATGCACCAGCCTCCCACAACCCTGAATTCAATTGGAGCAGATATAGAAAATGAATGGATGATATTCTTTTTTTTAATTGATAACCAAAAATCGTCTTTGATTATTGTAATAGTTTTAATGAGTTGACTGGGACCACTTGTCTGGCAATTGGTAGTCATTATTTACCCAGTTACAGTCATGTAAAAAAACAAAAACAAACTCTTTCAATTCCCGAATTCTGTCAACAAGCTCACCCCGACGTCAGGCCGTGCAATGCTTGACAAATGACCTAAAACATAAGCTACATCTCCAACTCTGCTGGCCCCAGTCGGCGTATTTAGTCTCAAAGTTTGAGAGCACAATTAATAAAGAAAACTGAATGATGATGGGATGTTTGGAAGTACTTGCTTGTAATGCACAGCATCACTTTCAATGAGAACCAAACACGGCGTGTCGTACCAACTTTTAGGCACGGGGGTGGAAGTGTGATGTTTTGGGCTTGTTTTGCAACAACGGGGCCTGGACACCTCACAGTCACCCGGAGCTCCCCTTTATGCCAGAGTTGTGAACCTGGGTGACTCCTGAGGCTGCTGTTACAGAGCCACTGCAAACAGAGCTGCTCTCAACGTTAACCAAAGCGATTAGAGAGCCCACGCTGTGGTCAGATGACGGTGGGACGGTGGCCCTTAACTTAAACTGAAGCGTAAAGAATGTCTCTGTGTGCCGCAGGATTAGTTTTCCTCTCACAAGTCCTCATTAATAGCATTCTTAGGAGGGGGTGAAGTCGTCTGGCCGTACAATGGTCCACGTCTCCACTCCTCTTAAGCGGCACATTTTTTTGTATGAAACGATCTGCATCCAGAGGGAGGGGTGAGGTAGTGGCTTCGTTCTGCCCCCCTCTGAGGTCCTGTGATGTGCGTCCATGTGACGAGCTGTGCGGACTATTTTGTACACGGCACACACTGCGTAGCGTAAAAAGCTCATGAGCTGGGCGGTGGTATGAGTGGGCCGTGGCCGCTTAATCCCATTAGCCTGTGGACTAACTTGAATCAGCTGGCCTCCAGACTAAGTATGAGGAAACAAGAAAGCATTTGATATAATACACACAAGCAGCAGGCTGTTGAAGTGAGAGCTGGCAGAGGAGCGTGCTCGTGTCAACGGGTTTGTGTGTGTGTGTGTGGGGGGGCACAAGGTAAAATGCCAGGTCTTTATCAGACATGCTGATTCATCATGTTGTCTGGCAGAAGTGTCAGAGATTTTGTGGGCAAAGGACAGTGGTTGATGTCACGATCACCAAAAAACTGACTTAGGCTTTACTTTTCTTTTTCATTTTTTCTTTCTTTTACTTTTAGTTGTCTTCTGGATGTTTCTCTGATCTGCCCTATTCTGCAGGCTATTCTGAGCAGACCCCAGAATAGCCTGCTAAATGGCAAATAATTCCGCTGATTCATAAAGCAGGTGAAGAATAAAGTGTTCGTTTGTGACCTCTAAAGGATGGAGCCTGACCATGCGTCGTTCTTTTTCTCCTCAGAGCAAAGTCGTCTGGGTTGGGACAGCTGACCCCTGAGAAACGTCCAGCTGGTACCTTGCAGCCATGATGTCCAAGTCAACTCTCCTTAAGGTCATCCTGCTGGGCGACGGCGGCGTGGGCAAGTCCTCTCTCATGAACCGCTACGTCACCAACAAATTTGACTCGCATCTCTTTCACACCATCGGCGTGGAGTTTCTCAACAAGGAGCTGGAGGTGGACGGGCACCACGTCACCCTGCAGATCTGGGACACCGCCGGCCAGGAGCGCTTCCGCAGCCTCCGCACGCCATTCTACCGCGGCTCCGACTGCTGCCTGCTCACCTTCAGCCTGGACGACGGCCAGAGCTTCCACAATCTGGCCAACTGGAAGAAGGAGTTCAGTTATTACGCCGACCTCAAGGAGCCCGACAGCTTCCCCTTCGTGGTGCTGGGCAACAAACTGGACGTCCCCGAGCGGCAGGTGTCGGGCGAGGATGCCCGGCAGTGGTGTCGCGAAAACGGCGGGCACCCGTACTTCGAGACCAGTGCCAAGGACGCTACCAACGTAGCGTCGGCCTTCGAGGAGGCGGTGCGGCGCATACTGGCATCGGACGACAGAGACGATCACCTCATCCACACAAACACAGTCGACCTGCAGAGGAAGACTCACCCCACCTCCAGCTGCTGCTGAGCACTGAAAACAGTGGAAGTGACCCATGTGATGCTTCAGCAGATGTCACATGAGCGTGGTTTTGAATGAAGAACTAACGCTGAGCAACACTGCACGTCCTCAGTTATGCTCTCAACTGACATCAGCATTCATTCCTTCCGGTTTTTCTGTTTTATTTTCCAGGATCAAATCTCTGATTCGTGCTCTTTTGTGTATTTTCCAACAGCTCGGCAACTCCAAACTCATCTGGAGCTTTTAGACAGGACTTGGGATTGACTGATGATGTAATTACAATAAAAGCGTTTTCAAACTGGCCTCACGCAGTTGAAGCATTGTTTTATGACAGTGCTTTAAGGGATTGTCAGAGGTAACAGCTGAACTGTACTGCTCATAATGACTTTTTTTTTTTCTCCAGGATGTATTTAAGACAGACTCGGGATGTAGAAAAAGAGGTTGTGCCATCAGCTGTGGCTGAAAATCTCAAACCTCAAAAAACAATTTCTTAAATCGTGACTGGGCTCAGACTAAAGTGTGAGACACAGCGCACAACCTAAACCGGCACATTTACTCATGAATAATTATAGGCGCCAAACCAGTGTAACATTTTCAAATGTGAAATTGACATCAAATTGCTGTAAAGTTGTTACACGAATGACCATTTTTAATGAATGTACTTTTTTTTTTTTTACACTGGAAATAAAACGGTAAACAACTTGACACCGTTTCTCTGTGTTGTGCTAGACATTTCTTTTTCCACAAGGGGGCGCCAAAACACCTAAAGACGGCCTGAGAGGCGGAAACGCCTCTGAGCTGAAGAACCGGAGCTCAATGTCGCCACAAATACCGACAACCAGAGATAAACAACCGGAGGAGAGTACTTTCATCTGTTAAACCGAAGAAACACTGAGTGGTTCTTACATTCACACTGAATGAAGTTTGTTTTTTTAAAGAAACGGTGAGATGTGTTTAATAAACTACTGATATTGTTTGGTCGGGCAGGAGTTAACTTTGGGTATATTTTGCAGCTGCAACATTTTTGTTTGTAAATATGAAATCTCCAGGAACAAACTATTGTTTTTCTAGGAAGCTGAAGAATGTCTGCCCTTGATTTGGGGCACTTTTCGTTTATTTATTGTATAAATTTGGTTGCCACGGGATACAGCATACAATTAACATACATTGTCTTCACCTGATGAACTTTTAAAAATGATCTCAGTTGATAAACGCTTCCAAGTTTAGACATATTTTATCTAATGCCGTTATTTCCTCAGAATAAACTACTTTAAAATGGTAAACAGCTTATTAAATATCGTTGGTATTTGTTTTCTTCCTTGTAAAATATTATTTGAACAATGTTTTTTAAAGTCAGAAGCTAGCAGCTACTCAGCTGGTGAGTAGAACATATAGTTTCAAGTTTGAAGGTGGTGCTTGTTTATATGAATTAATTTAAACCTTAAATTCTAAATAGTACTGAACAACATGCCAAATGTTAAAACTGAGAAATATGTTGTGTGTTTCCTAAATACACTCAGATGTTTGGTACAAAATTTAGACTGGGCTTCTTCACCTTTTTCTTTCTTTTTTTGTTGTTGTTTTTTAAGAAAATGGGATTAACAGCTCTGATATTGACATGCCTTCCTGTGTTTCCTCAGTTCTAGGTTGAGCTGCTCATCAGTTCAGGCTCTGCACTGCCGTATGTTTCTGCTCAAGTTCTTCAGAGGCTCTGCACTGAAGCCAGGTCAGTTTTCTCTTTCACTACTCATGGGCTCTTGTTATAGGAAGTAGCCACTGTCATGGTAAAATGAGCAAGAAACTTATCTGAAAAGACATTTGTTAGCTGCATTTGTTACTTCAAATGTGTAAAGTCATAAATGTCACCTTCAGTGCTGTATTCATTGGCCAAAAATGAGGCAGGAGACGTCAACATCACGATAATAAAAAATATCGGTTTTACTAGAGAAGGTTACAAAAATCATCACTAGGAGTCAAAGAACTATTTCCAACTTAAAAAATAAAACCAATCATGAAACACCTACAGGGACTACAATGCCATCAAAGTACAATGAAGTTTTCTTTAGAAAATAGTGGATGGAGGGGGAGGATGAAGGGAGGGGGCAACACCGCCTACCATAGTTGTCAGTACAAATGACTACACATCACCTGAAAAACTGTGAAGACACAGTCATGTCTCCTTCATGCAAATAACGAGGAAACAACACCCTGACACGCATCGTCGTCTTATAGGAAATTGAAGTTTGCCTTTACAACAACCTGGCGGCAAAGCACATACATTTACCAAACGTAACACACATGGCAATATAGTCCTTTTTTATACAGAATAGACAGCTGCACACATGGACGATACTGACATGCTTCATCTCATCAAAGTTAAAAATGTGTCTCCTTTACTGTTTTTTGAGGGTCAACTAACCAGCGATGATCAATATAGAATATAGTTCATGGTTATTAAACAATATCTGGTTATAAAATGAATGTATGAAAATTCCTGACTTGTTGTATTGAGTGTAAACATCCAAAACAGTCTCTGTGGCTTGTGTGTGAGGCATGACATTAAAAAGAAATAAGGAAAAAAAGTGAAAAGATAAAAAAGTGACTTTTTCATCTCAGCGTGTTGAGTCACTCGATTGGTTGGCCGTTGAAAAATAAGCACAAACATGTTCCATTAAGGAATCATAAAATCACAGAAACCCAGCTGCCTAAAACGGATTAAACATTTAAAAATTAATTCCCAAAGTTTTTTTTTCACATTTTAAAATGTATACGTCACAATCACCTCAATCCGTCATATCATACCATGACTGCACTGAATCCCTCTCACGACATATCATTTAAGATGTTACATTACAATTATTATATCAAATGCTGAACTAGTATTTGAGTGCTAAACACATATCTCAAAGGGTACATTTCCATATATTTGTGGGGGGAAAAATAGAGCATGGCAAAACACTGATTGTGGTCTCCTTTCTGGGGAGAGTTGTGGGTCAATCTCTCAGCTATTTACAAGCGAATTTTACTCTGAAAAAGCAAGTTTTTAGTGTCTAAGTTACACAGGAAGGTTGGCTAACCTGGTCAGAGTTTAGGTTGCCAGGCTTTGGGAATCACATAAATTGGTTTGGCTTGATACCTGAGGTGTGTGTCTCTGTTAAGACCCAGACATGTTTTTATTTTTGCTGCCGCTGGTGATGAGTGTAGCAAAAACCACAAAGATCTTAAGGAGGAATAGCTTGGCATGGCTATTTGCATCCTTGGAAAGAGCAAGATGGGAAGGTTGATGCAACTTTCATAAGCGTGCATTGAATTTCAAGAGCTGCTGCTGTAGCTTTGTTTACAAAAAGCTATGAACCATCTAACCTTTGGGAAAGTATGCATACATGCTTTTGTGTCAACATGTCTTTTAGGATAATTTTGCTATGCTTCTGGTCTTTATTAATCAGGTGGTTAAATAAACTCGAGTCATGTAAATGTACACAAATCCTTGAGATACCACATTATTTAAATTTATTTTAGGTGTTTCATTTAGAGAGGAAGGATTGGGGTTGTTATCATGGATTTTCAGTCTCCCTATTTTTTATTTCTTGAATAGTGCAACAATGTATTGAGCCATTAGCAATTAAAAGTTCAAGATGGAGAGAAAAGTAAAGGAAAAAAAACATCTGTGCCCCGAACAAAACCTGGCATACATTTCAGAGAGTATTATTAAAAAAATCAACAACATTCATACACATTCACACAATATATTCATATTCATATATATATATATATGCATATAAAACACCAAAAAACAAAGGAAGTTGGTCGCTGCCTGGCTTCCCAGTGGCTGAAGCAGACTGATGAGCAATGTTTTTATTTTTATTTTTTTGTTGTTTTTGACATTTTTTTTTTTAGGCTGTCGAGACGCTGTGCTGAATCAGGGCGCAAGGCCATCACAGCCGGGCCACGTTCACGAGCCACCGCCCGAAAGCACAGGTTCAGATTGAGCTAGAAATGTGACACTTCTGAACTGTTGCACTGTACCTGAGCTTGAACCCGACGGGCAAGCTCTCCCGTTGTGAAGCGTCTGCCTCTGTCGGGGCCTGCCGCCTCTCCTGACCCTCTATTCTCTTCCCCTCTGATGTGAGCACGCGCTCACAACTTTTCAGCATGATAAACTTCACAGTGGGGAAAGAGGATGGAGAATCAGAAGGTTGGGGGGGACTATCAAACATGACCGAGGTGGTTTGTTTAATCAGAGAGAGGGGTGCGGGCTGGGTGTGGCAGGATGAGGGTTGAGGTGTGAAAAGGAGATGGGCAATGGTGGGAGAGGATTTCTCGTCCTTATGAGTAGGAGGAGGAGTTCTGGCCCTCCTTTGAGCGCGCCTCGGCTTCCAGGTCCTGGTCATCCTTGGTCTTGATGTCCTGGTAGTCGTGTGTGTAGGCGGCGCTCTTCAGATAAGCCCAGTTGGCAGACAAAATCATCAGATAGTGGATCTGATGAGGAAATAGAAATGGTCTTCTCCATATTCGAGGTCAAGACATTACAAGCAGGTGGAATTATTCTATACACTTCACAATTACCACTAATAACTTTTTAGCCGAGTGGATAGAATAAGTCCAAGGAATCACAGTTAATCTAAAGCAATCTCCAAGTTCCATTCTTACCAATTTTGAAGAATCCTTGATCAAAGGGGTCAGATATAATTAGCTTGCATCTTTAATCTATTTTACCTTTAACCTTCTGTCCCCTCAGTGGCCAACACGGGGCAATGCTTCTGGCTGCCTCTTCTTTGAATGAATCCCTAATTAACTGGCTAAGAAGTTGTGTCCTTGTCACATATTCAAGTTTTTCTGTTGAACATTTTGTACACTTTGTAAAACCATGTTTGTTATTTAAAAGTAGGTTAGCCATAACGTACTTGTCTTTTAGTGTCACATCCTAGATAGAATAACTTTAAGTATTCCCAGGATCAGTGAAATCACACAGTGGTCTTTTTTTGGCTTTAAACAGGGCACTTAGTTCAGCTTTACTGAACTGTGTGGTATTTGCATTTCCTGAGGCATCTCTTTCCACCACGCAAGAAATAGGAAGTAGTAAAATATCAAGTACATAGAGCGTCAAGTGAGTCAATGTAACATCTGGAGGTGCTTGATGTTTTTTTTTTTTATTTTATTTTTTTGGTAAGCATCTCAATTTCCCTGAACACAAAACAAAGAAGTCCGCCTCCACAGCACAGAGTATAACACTGACCTCTGCCAGCACACAAATGCACAGGCTGCAGGGCAGCATTTCAACTGGTTGAATGACATATGTGAGAGGCGGGGTAGCTATGGCAACAGATAAGCATGCCATGGCAACGTGCATATTTTGAGCAGCACATTATCAGAGTGATCATGAGGCGCTTACCAATGCGATGACGGTGGCTCCGGCCCCGGCTAGTGCCACAATGTAGAGGTGGTAGGACAGGTAGAACTGTGAATGAAAAGAAAGGTGAGAAAAGAGGGAAAGGAAGGTAAGAAAGAAGGAAAGTAAAAGGGAGGATCATGGTATGATCTTCCCCCTCACCTCGTTGGTGGTACAAATGTCTCCCAATGTGGCTCCACAAGCTTTTCCGGGTGTGGCGTTGTAGGGAATAACACCTGCAGGATCAGAGATGAAATGTAACACAACTGAGCCAAGAAGCTTTCCCCAGCACAGGCACAGGCCCTGCATGATTGAGGGCATTATGAATCAGGCTCAGATAGAGATTAAAGGAAACAGGATTGCTGCTGGCATGGCTTTTGGAAAAAATATGGGTCATTATCCTGTATCCCTTTTTCTGTACAGTAGTTTACTAGTTTTACTGACCCACTCAGACACATTAGCTGTATTTCTTTGGTCTCTCTTCTTTATAGTTGCATTTTCATTACTAATCAATTTAACTCGCTGTACAAAACAAAAAATTAAAACCAGTCTCTGATCACTTATTAATTATGGCATCTGGATCGCTGACCGTAATTTGACAGCAGTAATTGAGGGTAAAATTTCATGCAGAGTAATAGTACAGCACTAGAGCCAATGAAGCATATGTGATCCTCATCCATCCTAAGCAGGCCAGCTGTCTTCCAAATGTGGGTCACATACTGTACATTAGGCCATCAAACAGATAACCAGATATGCAATCACGGGAGCGTCACTGTGCTGCAATTCTGCATGTATCCATCAGATCCTCTAAAATCTAAATGTATTTCTCTTTGCTGATGGTGAATTTTAAACGACTTTAGTTCAACTAAACAAGCAGGCACTGCATACTCTGCGTGCTAATATATCACCACTGACCATACTGCCTGACATCCACACAGATGGATTCAGGAGATGTGATGTTGGCATCAGGGGACTTCATGGCAGCACAGGTATTCCACATGTTAAAGAAGAGGAAAACTGGAATCGCCGTGAAGCAGAAGATGGCGATGAAGGCCAGAGCCAGGATGTAAGTCAGGAACATGAACTTAGGAACGTAGGGAGGTGAGACAAAAGGAGAAAATCAGACTCTGTCATGGTTTGTACTGCATTCAGAAAAAATAGGTAAATAATATTCCTTTAAAAATCTAACCACCAACACACAAACCAGTGTTTTTTTTTCGACTAATGTAACTGAACATATTCAGTAATCAAAGTAATTGGACTAGCAAGGACTAATTACACTACAGTAATTGTCAAAGCTCAAGCGAGTGTTTGTGTGGATCCATTTTGTGTGAAAGTGCTCTAAAGGCCTCTGCAGGAACTTCACAATAAGGCCTGTATAGGCTTAGAAAGCATAATAAATTATTTCTGTATCTAAGAACACGATTAAAAGACCATTTAATGAGATTTAAATACTAATCTGATTCATTAGCATTGCAATGGGGTCAGTGTGTGGGATGATTAGCAGGAAATATATGTTTTTGCTGGCATACAAAGGCAGTGATGCAGCGTCCGCAGATGGTCATCTTGAAGTCGCTCTGGAGCTCCCTCTTGACAGCGCTAGTGGTGTAAAAGCCCTCACCCAACAGGATGATGGCGTAGACAAGGAAAAAGGGGGCAATGCCGTAGATGATGTACTGAAAGATCTGGATCCTGGATATAGACAATGTGTAGAAAATTCCCCACTATTAATTATTTAAACACCCCTGAGACATTATTATTATTTAAACAGAGCCACGGCCTCATATTTGATAGCTTTCAACAATTATGGTCAATACTTCATGAAGGCTTCATGGTAGTCCAACTTACATCTGGTCCTGATGACTAATATTATATCACTTCAGATTATTATGACTTACAAATCACAAACGTTCTAAATATGTATGGAATAATTGGCTGATGTTGCTAACTGTAGAGAAATGTAATCAGTATTTGATGGAGGACAATTTCAAAGTCTTGAATGGAAACCTCAGAGGACTTACACAGTAGTTAAGGTAGCGTGGTCGCTGGTGACCCGGGAAAAGTGGTCCTCCAGCATTGTCAGGGTGCCGGTCAATGCCACGTGGCCACAGCCACAGAACAGAGACACACCTATGAAGCAGAGGATGGTGGCCACCAGAGAGGCGTAGGGCACCCCGCCCAGACACTTAATGCAGCACTCAAAGCATCCTGCAGAGGGAGACAAAGAGAGGATTAATCATGCTTTCCTGTTGCATTCATCTGAAAGAAAGCGTAAAACTTCAAGGAGGCAAGAAATGTATATATTTATGTGCATGAATGCTAAAACTGCAAACGTGCACTAACAAGTACAAAGCGAGCACATGGCAGTAATGTGACATCTCATAGTGACTTGGATGGCTCTGCTGATGACACTCTGAGCAACACGGGACGGCCTTTTTCGTCCACTGCTGTTTGATTTTTACTTGAGCAGAAACCTGTGGGGATGTTTGTGCTTTTGGGGCTGAATCAAGCATGCACGCTTCAAAGCATTTTGCTGGCATCTCAGAGAAGCACACCTCTCTCTGACAGGCATTTTGAGTGGCTAATCAGCATCAATCACAGTAAGAGTGTGTTCACTTTGAGCTCAGCTGGGAGTGCTGAATATAATATGTAAGCTGCACTACATGCTCTTATCCTTTCCAGAAAAAAGCCCCTTCTGTCAGAAGATGTCTTTTGACCATTTGTCAGGAATAAAGTTAAAACAGTCAAAACATGAATTTATTAGGGTTTTTTCTAACAAGTGCATCAGGCAATAAGAATGACATGATGCTTTATCTTTTAACTAAAAAGTGACTAATTTTCCAGCAGAGGCTTAAGAGACTAACTTATCTCATAGATTTGAAGACCTCAGAATGTCCCTGAATGATTAAAAATACTCACTTGTGCTTGAACTGTCTTAAGTGTGATAACTGTCTAACAGTTCTGCTCAAATCATGAATCCTCTTGCTTGATTTATCGACTTGAGACACACAAGTACTGCAGTTACAGCGCTTCTTGCTTCATAATAAAGAAAAAAAGAGAACAAAAAAAAGGGAAAGTAAGGCATAGTATTGAGTAGGAGAGTTGGATCTTATATAACGCCCGTTAAAAATAACTCCTCCAGCAAAAAGCAGGAAGTTACTCCAGGAGAAAAAAAAAAGACAATGAACTGTCTTGTGTGTGCCACTTTGCTGTTTCCATGACAACTAGCTCCCACCGGAAACCTTGGCGCATCACCATTTGATGTTCACAAGTTTGTTGAATAGAAATGCTTCTGTCGGTACAGCCCTGATGACATGACTGACCATAGTGCAAATCTTTTGAAGCCATCGGTCAAAAGATTATCCCAAGTATTGAGAGATGACACAATCAGCGCCATTCATGGAAGTTTGCAGTCTACACTAGACACAACAAGTAACGCGATCAGAATAGGATCTAAGACCCTCATACACCTTATTAGCATTTCATCAGCTAAATCTGTAAACTCTGACACTAAATAAAATCAAACCACACCAAAAGACAAAACTAGAAGATTTGATCCAAAAATCTAAAACTCTCTCTGAACCCAGAATGTAATTTGATTTTGAGATGAAACCCTCTTCCATCAATAGACTGTTGTAGTGCTGGAAGCGTGTGGACAATTATTATTGATGTTTTTAAAAGAGCCAATTGATGCGCACCCCTAAGGGAAGGTAGAATCATCAATAAAATTGCTGTGCTGGGAGAAAATGCCAAAGTACTTCACCTAAATGGGATGATTTTCTTGGGGTTCGTCCTCTTTATTTTTGTTTGCACATTTAGTGTCTATTTTTGGCTGAAGTGAATGATACAGACGGTAAATGTGAGACTAAACTGAGTCAAAGGTGTTCTTGTTTAGCATTGTGTAAAACTTTTAACTGTCACAAGTGACAGCTAGAATGATTTGATATTTGAAAGAAAACTGTTTGGTTATAATGTTGATGGGCAAAGACGGTGAAACTGAAGGCACAATATTTCCATTGTCTTGAGGTCCAGTTTCTTTAATGGCAGTTTTTCAACCTAACAAAAAGTGTGGCAGGAGTTGTATGAGTTGGTATTTGCTCTTTAAATCTAAGATACCACAGCTTCTTCTCCAGTGTGTAGCTGTTGATGAAGACTGTGTTGCATAACGAAGCGAAGGCTTATTGCGTAATAGATCCAAATCCTATTAATGTTAATGAATGAAGCAGGCTGATGGAGAATGGCAGCTGATAAGGCTCAGTGGGTCTGGCAGGATTGCTGTGATGGACTGGTCAATACAATCAGGATTGTTTAAAAGCTTCCGTGTACTCACACTCAATCCTATTTTAAAATGCCACTCTCAACAGGTAACTGAGTAGTTTCCAGCCTATTTTATTTAAAAAGGATCAAAGAGATTTGGTAATCCTTTCTTTTTCAAATGCAAATCAAGAATTGTCTAAGGTGATACCGCTTTCATGTATGCTCTGGATGCGAGTAATATGACAGCAAAGGGACCTATTTAAGGCAAATTCCAAGACTCCATCCGCACTATTTAGGGCTTGTATTATATCTGCTGTTAACTCTTTCTTCCTCCTGGCTCCATGCAGCTTCATGGGTGAATTGACAGGTTTCTTTTGAACACTGAACTGGCCCCCTTATCCGGTCCGCCTCTGGCTATGACCATTTGTCAGCCTCCCATCAGCGCTAATGGGAAACAGACAGGCCGGAGTGGTCAGCCCAAGCCACTCCTAATGGAAATCAATGGGCTATTCATTAGGGTAGAATTTAGGTGACACACCGGGGCTGGCCTGTCTACCTCGTTTTATACCTTAGTGCATTTAACTGCCTCTACCCTGCTTGCCTTCTCCTCCGCTCATAGTTTGAAATACGACTGCATGCCCACGCTGCATTTACAGCCGGCAAGCTGGAGTTAAAAGTTGAGACAATATGTTTCGCTCCTATTGCTCTGGTTCATATATCATCCACCAATTTCAAGCTAAGGGTGATGCATAACTCTGAGGAAACGGTCCCAAAAGATTAGGCTTTTGTCTTTGTTTTGTCCAGCAATAGAATGGAAAATAATTTGACAGACGGGAGGAGCAATTAAGGATAATCATTCAGAATACTATAACATCTTCCCATGTTTAAGTAAGGATTTGAATGTGTGTCTGACAGTTTCAGTGAAGGAATGATAATGGATGCTTGCTTTTGTGCCACTGTAAAGAAGGCTAAAGACAGAGGCGAGAAAACAAAAGAGAGTGGCAGCATCAGTGAGGAGATTGGGGAAAAAGAAAAGAAGCAGAGGAAGGCTGAGCAGATAAATACAAAGTAAAGAACAAAGCAGGAGTAAAAAGAGAAGAAGGTGAGGAGAGACGTTATGAGCAAAGAAAGGGATGAGAACGTGTAAGTGAAAAGCAGTTCTTGGCCCCAGGGCCGGGAAATAGCAGTTGCCATAGCAACGTGTTACCCACGACCCAGTTCAGCAGTAGTGAAGTTTTTCCTCCATGCACACACACAGACACACACAGTGATGTAACCTCAATCAAAACCCAAAGATCGGCATTAAATAGTTACGCCTGCCTTGACGTTTAACCAAAAACCAAGTAAGCACAGAGATCAGCATCTTAAGGCATGACCAGAAAAAAAAAGAACTTGTCTGTCCAACTTTGTTCGGGTTCAGGTTTTGAGAACTGGATCAAACTGAACTGAAATGTGTCAACTCATGAATTGAGAAGTAAACGAATAACAAAACGCCCTGTTTAAACTCCAACCACGTGCTTGTTCTTCAATGTGAACAGCAAATTATTCATTGTTTCCATGTTCCATTTGGGTATAGCGAGAATATTTTTTACAAAAGCCCTTTTTATAATTCATTTCAATTTCATACATTTTTAGAAGTTTCTTTTTAAGGCATCCAACAGCAAGAGAGAAGTTTTATGATTTATTAAGAGCTGCATCTTATTAAACCACATGGCAGATTCCTGCAGTCACCTCTTTCAGCCACATTTTCGGTCCAGATCTTGTTTTATAACGGCTTTACTCCAACAAACAGCATCTTATTCATCAACCAGCTCCCACTTTCATGCTCAAAGTGGAACTGAACCTGGTAGGAGGTGTTGAGGACCCTTGAGAGATAAATTCTGGGCAAGGAAACTGGAATTTTGCGCCGAAATTCTCTGAAATTCTGTACAATTGACAAGAAAAAAACAGGTTATTTAAAGCTGTATGTGAGTCTGTTAAACTACTGATTAGTTTCTTTAAATTCCACTTGTTTATTAAGTTCAACACGAAGAAAGAAAGCCTATTCTCCATAACGATGATGGTGTTTGCGTTTTCCATCCTTGTTTTTGGTTTCCTGTATGAACCAGTTCATGCCGAACTAGCATCAAACAGAAATCCTTCATTTGAAGCCCCATCATTTACAGACTGAAGCCTTCTAATCGGACAAGAAAGCATATTCAGGCATTTTGACTGGATAAATGAGGGCTGGCACGCAGGAGATGTGGTTAGAAAAAGAACCTGTCATGATTGATGACATCTTTTGTGATGAAGCTCCATTTCCTGTCAATCACCTGACACCCACAATTTCTCATACGTTTGTGTCCAAACCTTATTGTCATTAAGTTTGAATGAGAGGCTCATTCACTGGAAAGCAGACATCTGAGTTTAGATGCATTGCAGAAATAACTGAAATGAGTAAACGTCATTGTATTCTCATTGGATAGAATCACCTGATATCTCTGGATCATATTGGCTGATTTAATAGGCTGCATTTATCTGGCTGCATTGATTTCTTTACAGCAGTGTCTATAAAGCATACTAAAAAACGGAGGAGAAGACAGAGATTCATTTACCATCCTTTGTAAATGATTTGCCATAAACTGTACAACCCAGTGGCACAGCATGATAATCGCCAACTGTTCATACGCAAGGCGCATCTGCCAGGAATAACGGCGTTAATAAAGCTTTCTGAATATTTCAGCAGCCGATCTGGTCTGTGCCTGGGGATGCATTTAAATTTAGTGGTGCTGTATTTATTATGGGGCAATTTTCTCACAAAGCAGTATGGGGAGATTCCTGAAAGAGAAAACTCGAACAGATAAAACCTGAGAGGGGAAAAGTGTGGGGAAAGTATTGAAACAGGAAACAGGAGGGGAGGGGGATGTCACATTTGGTTAAGACGTAAAAGAGAACCCATCTGGTTGACAGCA